CAACCGCGATGTCAGAATATTACTGGTGCAGATACCAGTTCGACTCGGGGCCGGGCTGGCGACTTGTGTTATTGTATTTTTTCGGTCGTGGTTCAAGAATGGATTGAGTTCATCAATTACAACATGAGTGGTAGCAACACGCTGTGAACCCCGAAGGACGAAGTCGAGGTCGTTGATTTCCTGACGATATTCGGAAGCACATGTTGAAAGTTTATAAATCTCAGAATGGGGGAGGATGCAGAGGAGAGACTTCCGCTTGATAGCTCGTCGTGCACATGTCGTTTTCTGGCATATCGAACCGGATATCTACGTGGCGCCTCGCTCCCTCTTTTCTATTCATTGGAACCAGATTTCATTTTGATCCTGAAATCCCGCATTCCACTGAAAAAAAAGATCACCGACGAGTGGATGGCTCGGGGGCGCGGGGTGCGCATCTGTTTCGAACACTACGTGAGGAGGTGACTCGGAACTATCACATTTGGGACGGCGGGAGGTTGCTTTGATATTTTTCACCGGGGAATCGACTCCCAGTTCAAGCCGTGAAAGTGGTTGTCCTAGAGTCGGAGAGTTAATGAAAGCATGTTTGGTTTATAGTTTCCGCTGTTCAGGCCAATGAAGCTTCCCCGATTTATCGGGGCGACGTCCAGTACGAATCCCGCTCCGAATATTCTCAATATCACACTACATATACAGAAAGATTTGTGAATCAATTGTGGATCAATATCGAATTTATACACAAGGTTTCCGTATCCAAGCTCTGTCTCATTTCTACATTATCTCAGTCGCTGTTCGCGCCTTGGGTAAAGGTCGAAGTCGTCTACTCATAATTCCTCTTCAGCCGCGTGCCAACCCTGGAAACGAAATTAGTCAATGCTTATGCGCCGTCGCGAAATGGTCCTGGATGCGGCTGAACCAACCGCCTGGTACAAGGCCATCAGGACAGGTTGCTCACATTCAAGCCTCACGATTCTTCGTTTGAGCTGGAGTGCAAAGAATCCTATCTCTGACACCGAATCCATACTAGGTATTCTGTTTTGTTTCAAGAACCTTGCGGAACTCCGTCTATATTCGCGGTGGGGATTCGATCTTGACGATGGAACAGTGGGTGACATGGCCTGCGCCTGGCCCAAAATCGAAACCTGTGTATCCTCAGATCGAAAACGCCAGTCATCCCCCCACGAGCAACATTACAGTGCCTTGTTCCTTTGGCGCTGTATTGCACGCGACTCAATGTGCTCGCTTTGACACTCAACGCCTCCACCATACCTGAGCTTCCAGAGCATGATGCACGACAGTTGCTACGATAGCCATCGTCTATCTCACCTGGATGCTCAGTATTCGAATATCTCAGCATACATTCCCGTTGCATTGTTCCTCAAAAGGGTCATGCCTAACCTGAGGATTGTGTCGTCGAACCTCAATTCGAACATCAATGGACAGGAAAGTCTCTGGGAGGGAAAGTGGCAGGAAGCTTCCGAACATCTCCAGAGCCGTGGGCAGCTGGAGAAGATGCGCGACGCAGCGTAGGACCTCAAGCGTCGAGATTGACCATTTCTATGTATTTACTGTATGCATTCAAATTACGGACTCAACCTCAGCTACATACCAAGTAATCATACTGGGGTGCTCGTCTTCATATCGTCACTCATACCTGACGAACTTTTAACTCATATATATCGGCGGCAACTCCTGCAGGTCCCCCGTCCTCTGCTCACGAGTATTCTCCCAGGCGTTCAGAATGCCGTCGCGGATAATATTGTACTGGGCCCGCTGCGTCGTGGACAAGGCGCGTCCAACAGAAAGGGACGTAGGAGTTGAGACTGAGTGGCTGTTGTCCGCCGTGCCCCCCTTGCGCCGCTGAACTTGGTCCTCGAGCTGTCGAAGCCGCATCTGCGGCCATTGTTGGGGTGTTAGAGCCGGACCGATTGTGCAAATCAAACAACGCCGGAAACGACTATCGATGTCCATCTGTAGCTGGGTTCACCTGCGGCAGTAGAGGGATAGACCGCCGACGATTGCCAGGAGGATTGCGATCCCGCCGACGATCTGTCGCCGGGTTCGGCACGAGAGGAATAGACCGCGGACCATTGCCAGGAGGATTGCGATCCCGCCGACACTCCCGCCGGCGATAGCAGTTGTCTTTGCGCGGATTTTCCTGGAACCTGATTCTGAAATACCGATCTTTGTGGTCAGTGTTGCACAGACAAAAGTTGAGCGACAGTGGGAGAGTGAAATTGAATACATTGCGTACGTGTAAACTGCCGAATCGAAATAAAAACCGGCATTGGGGCGTATTGGTTTCATTGACGTATGATCCGTATGGACGAGCGTTGTATTGCTGTGGACGAGGTCGGTGTATGTTAAGTTCAGATTCCGGGAGTCTCTGTGTATTCCGCACTTTCGATTCCATCGACGAAATATTGCAGGAGCTGCATGGCGGGCCCAGTGCTATTGTCGCCGCTGGCACGCGGAATCGCGGATGCGTTGAACAGCAAAATATACATATCTGTTCCTGCGTTCGCCCCATGAGGATGCAGCTTGGAGGCAGACAAATCCACGTACCAGTGGCATTCATGAGGCGCCAAATTGCTGTACGATCTTGTCAGAGGTATTGAAGACCTATGGCAACAGATCAGAAGGCAGGAACGAGTTGGGATGCAGGCAAGAAATGTGCAAGGGCAAGCGAGAAAAAAAAGAAGCGACTCGGAGGAGGCTTCGCGCTCGAATTGGTTGAGCAATCCCGGATGGATACGGACGCGTAGAAAAGGAAATATGGTTGGGGGCGAGCCGTGAAGGCAAACCGTGGCAACTTGCTCAGGTTGGGGCCGGATCTCCAGAGAAACCGACGCCCATATGCAAAGGTAGTGGAATGAGTCGACGGTAGGAGGAAGGTTAAAACTTGTTCAAAGTCGACACGCCGGCAACAAGATTGACAGTTTGGTTATACAGCGGGGCCTTGGCGAATGGCCAGACGTAGGTGGATACATGCCGGGACGTCTGGCCGATATCGGAGCGCGAACTCGAATGATCGACCCCACGGCGGACACCCCGTATCTGGATATCGATGGAGGCGAAAAGTCGAAGAAAAAAGTGGCAGGCAGGGCTCGCGCCGAGCATGTGCAGATGCGGCGGGGGGTGGTGCCGGAGAGGCATTGAGAGGTTGCATTCCGAGCTTGAGGGAAGGTGAAGTAAATGAACAAGGGAAAGGAGGGAGGGACTGCGGTGCACTGAGATGAAAGCGGACGCAAGGGAGGTGTAGTGTTTGTGAGACGAGTGGGGGCGGAGCGGGGCGTGGCGTGAAGTACCGCATAACGGGAGGAAGAGGGCAGCGGCGGGGAGTGGAGTGGAGCGCGGACGGGGGAGGCGAGGCGAGGACTCGGAGGGGCGGGTCGCAGTTTGAGGAACATCGCGTGGCTTGGGTCTGGAAGCGCGGGAGGTTATGACGGAAGGCGGTGGTATGCGAGTGAGGAGTCCTAGGCAAGGGGAATAACTTCACGCTGGAGTGAAAACTACAACTTAAAGCTTGAAGTTGAAGCTTCTTTCGTCGTGGAAGCAGGAGGAGAGCCGTGTGTGGCAGTGCCCTTGATAAGATCAAGGGCGATCCGCATCTTTCCGGCGTCTTTTCTCTTTCCTCAATCTTTCCTCGACCAGCTCCTCCGACCGTCCGACGAGCCCGTTTCCACAACATTCGCGTCGAGATGGCCAATCCAGACACCTCCCTCACGCTGCTCAGTCAAGCCCTTGACCAAGCCAGCGCCACATCGCAGCAGGCGCGGGTCCGTGCGGAAGAGCGCGACCAAGAAATCGCTGCGCTGCGTCGGAACCTCGCCGACATGACCCAGCAACGAGATATGCTGCGCGCCCAGGTTGCTGAGGCGGGACAAATCGAAGAGGTTCGTAAACGCCTCAAGGATAGCGTTGCCGATGCGCTCGCCGCGGAACGTACGAGATACGACGAGCGCACCAAGGTGCTTCGGGCGGCGAAACGGGAGCTGGATGACGAGACTGAGGAAGCTCATGAGGCGAGTACCAGGTGCGTTCCAACTCCCCGCTTTCCCAGGTTCTCGTCATTCACGCAATGAGTAGTCGCAAGCGTGGTCACTACGTCGTCAATTCTGGGAGGACACTCGATCTCAGACCGAGGGTTTGTTCATTTGCCTCTCAGTGCATATCTGAACTCACTTCTCCTAGGATACCATCACGATCCCGACTCGACCAAAAGCCACCGTTATCAGGAAATCCATGTACAGACCTCGCGGGGTATGTACACTTCTGCATTTACTCAGGGACGGCTACTGACATATCTTATAGCAAAAACTGGTGCCTACTTCACACCACGGTCTCACCGTCCCGTCACCCGTATGTGCTTTACTTTCATAGTCTAAACGCCACTGATATCCGACGCGATGTGGGTCATTGTGCCAGGCAGCGTTGGCTGAGTTGGCTCTGGACAGCATCTCCGATTCTCTCCCCCAAAACCGATGTAATGAATCTTTGATCTTTACCGGTGGTTGTCTCTACATCGTGGGGTCCGATATCTGGAACTCGCCTAGAATCGATTCTATGCGATTACGCAGCTTTTCAGATATCTCACTGGGACGTACGAAAAATTATTACTCGCCCCAGATGGATCAACCCGTTGGCAACCGCATGATTCGTCCGTATGCCCTCTTCCTCCGTGCAATTCCTCGATTTGGACGTCCTTGTGGTGACGGCAGACCGCCCCAGCATCAAAACCGCAATCGGTCTGACTACTGGGGAGCCGGCGGTTCGACTCCGTCCAGGGACATAGGGGCTCACTTTCTATCCTTTTGCCTCCAACGTTTTCCCCTCTCTCGATGATCTCTGGCAGGCAACGATGTAGGTGCACAATTGCACTTTACGGGACTCAGTGTGAAGCCGAAATGGATCGTTGTCACTGACATAACACCCTGCAGGTGCGTTTTCGTTTTCGCCTATAATCCTCTGTCCCTCGCCCTGTTGCGATACATTTATTCAACGTCCCCGTAGATCATGGTCGATCGTCCCGCTACCATTAAGCATCGGAGCAGTGCTTTGGGAAGTGGCGGTTCGATTCCGCCCGGGGACGCTTCACCTGTTCGGTTGTTTCTGCCCTCGTGGCGCCGCCTTCTTTTGAGTTGTTCGGGTATGAGTTCGAAATCCGATTCAAATTCAAAGACGATAAAGACAATTATGAGCCGCGTGCAACACCCAAATTGAAAGTTACCTCGATTCTGTGAGTTTCAGTATTACTACTTCATTCACTTCCATTTAACTAAATCAACGTCCCCGTAGATCGTGGGTGATCACCCTTCCACTATGCATTCTCGAAGTCGGCTATGGCACCAAGGAAACGGCGGTTCGATTCCGCACGGGGACATGATAGAATCGGAAGGCGTTTTTGCGGGACGGTGCGGTGCTACGGCTTCTGAATCTCTAGAATTTGGATTTTTGGAAAGTTCTTCTTGTTCCTCTTCTAAAAGCACTCAACTCAACCACTCCGCGCATAGAGAATAAAAATGATTGATGCGCGGCATGGAACATCTCCACCGGGTCCTCGGAGGACAGCGTTGGTACTTACCTGCTTGACTTTTGTCCACCTCATCCACGGTTTCCGTAGATCATGGCTGATCATCACTATGACCAAATTTCGTTGTTGCGGTGGCAGCAGCGGTTCGATTTCGTACGGGGACTGACATTTTGGGGCGTCTTTGCTCCCTGGCGCTAGCTGATATGCGGTGTGTACAATTTATGATGGTTCAATAAGTATCGACCACCGGTAAATCTGGCTCGACAGGTTGTTCCGTTGGAGGGACCTGGGACGCAGCGACCTAGAAACTAAAGACCTTAGGCTGTGGGATTCGCATTCAGTACGTCTCGGCAGGTTTTCGATCGCTTTAACGTCCCTGTGTGTTGTGGCGGATCCTCCTGAAGAAGCTGGGCAGCGGCGGTTGGACTCCGCCGAAGATCCGGGATATTTTTGCCAGTAGCGTTTTCGGTACGGGGTGCTCACGTTCTTCTCCCTCGCTCCACCTGCATAGGTATGCGCATGTCTCTTGAATTCTCCTCGACTCTCCCGTGCACGTTCGTGGTCATACACCACATTCCTATCAATCACCGTGGGCACAGTACGATCCCGAACTCAAGATACCGTCCTTTCGTGTTGAAGTCATCGGTTTTAGACGTCCCAGCGGTCACGCCAGATCTACCCCGTACCGTGAGTAGTAATACCTTGCGTACTTGGCAGTGTGCGGGAAGGCTCCGTTTAGGGACATAAGTAAGGCGCAGCACAAGGGGCTTCGAAGATAAACAATTATCTTATGGGGTTGAGGGAGGGAGGGGTCGGCGAGGGCCTGAAAATAATTTTTGGTACCATTTCTGAAAAGTCAATTTTGCAGCGTCAATTCGGGCAGAAAACCTATCGGGAACTTTTCAGACATTGTTTTACCATTTTATCAATTATTGGGGTTGATTTTTGCCCACTAATTTGATGTCATTTGGTGTTTTCGCTGCTTTCATCTGTGAATGACAGGTACTGTATTTTTTCATTCAGGTCGATAGTCACGCGTCACGCACCAGCGTATCGATGTTGAATTTTGGTCGATGTCACGCGTCACTCATGCCTTTATCGAACCGAAAATTCGGGTCACGCAGGCCAAAATCTCCCAAAAACACCAAAAACCGAATATTTGCGTTGAAATTTTCGAAAATTTTTCCGTGGTCACGCAAAAATTTCGGTGGTATCGAATTGTCGGAATGGTCCGAGTATGTCACGCGTCACACCCCGTGTCGATCTGAATGAAAAAATACAGTACTTCCGACTTTCGGCAAGTCCCAAGTATGTACCAGGTTTTTTGTTGGGGACAAGATTATTAATGCCAACATCCCCAGCTCCTTTGAAATACTTCCGGCGGCAAGGGGGAAATATTTGTGCATTGTACAGGTGGAAATACTTCCTCCTAGAATGTGAATCTGATGGCCAAAAGCTGAAATTCACCGTGAGAATATCGCTCGGGTAGGCTCGGCTCGGCTCGGGCCGCTCGGCTAGAGGGAGGGAGGGGTTGCCAACCCTCTGAGAAAAAAAATGGAAGGTATGTTGTAATTTTCGCATTTTCAAACCCCCTTGGCGCAACACGAACTTGGTGAGGAAATCAAAATTCACCGACGGCACTGGAGTTGCGTGCCTAGCCTCGAATTCCCTCTACTGTATGCGACTAGGTAGTGGGCCACACTAGGTAGTGGGCCATTTGGTCAATAAGTCACGATGGGATGAAATAATTGGCATTACCGGTCCTGAAGGAGGCAATGGGACCTCAGACGGTGGTCCACACCAGATTTGGACGGAAATGGATAACGCGATCAAAAGCTGTGCGCTCTTGGACAGCGGGCCGAAGGGTGGGAACATCATTTTCTTAGCTCCGCACGGAGAAGCCGCATTCGTTTTGCTCTTTTCTCCCCCAATATGTCGCCGATTCTGGAGTTTCTATGGCCTATATGTTACCTAGCACCGTCGCATTAAGTTTGAAGTCTGTGTTTCTCCTGGTCCATCATCATTCCGTCCGCTAAAGCCTCGTCTTTGGACGTCCTCGGATCCCCAGTCGCTCAGTCTGATCACTCATATATCAAGGCAGCCGTGAACTGCAGGGGGCCAATACCCGACATGGGCCATCAGAGTTGCATTTCAATGAATCGTGTATGTACCTCAGGTATGTATATATTTTCCTTCGCTCCCACCACTGTCCGATACCGAAAAGCATGCATTTTCCCAGGGCCGGGGAAAGACATTTTTTTGGAAGCAGTGGTAGCAGGAAATTGGTGATATATGACCTCAGGTGTGTCCATATACTTTCTGTGAATGATTCTACGTGGTTACCTGGCCCTCCAGAGTGTGCATCCATTGCGCAGCAATCGCACTAGCTCAAACATCGATTTTGTGGTCCGTATCTCGTTATAAATCTAGTTGTGTACTACTCTGATATTGCTCAGATGTATGTGTTATATGTTCTGATTTGTCAATAACACCATGCTGTGTGATGTATAATGCATCGTGGTCCCCCTGTGAATGAGGGTGTCGAGTTAAGGCTCGTGGCCCACTACGCCGTCAATTGCCTTTTCGGACCGCCCCGTCAAAAGAAATTCACAGAGATGTCAAAAGGTAATAGAAATTCACCAAAATTATTTAGGACTTTCTTACGATGTACGCCTACGATATTATACACTTTAGGGATGATTGAATAATACCTGCCCCTTCGGCAGTAGTGAAAACGCTAAGGTGGCCCACTACCCAGTCACATACAGTACCCTCTCACTCTTTTGTGATAGCTTGATCCAAAGTCCCCGTAGATCGTGGTTGATCCTCCCATCACTATGAGGGAACAAACGTGTTGCACTGGGAAGCGGCGGTTCGATTCCGCCCGGAGACATCAGCTCTTTGTACACGGTTTTTTACTCGCCGGTGCGGCGACCTCTATGCATTGTGGGCGACCTGTTCTAGTTCAGGTTCAAAGGGTCCAGAGGCAATTTTGGCTAGAGAAGAAATCTTGGCGATTTTTGTGACATACATAGGTGCATGCAGGCCTGCAGTACAGACGGAGATTTATCAATGTCGTGAGTCTATTATCGGTGGTCCCTGTCTGCTGGTCCACTCCGTCGTTAGGTATTTACCCGTCAATGCGCCGCGCGACTCGTTCGAAAACAATCCTGTCAATGCAGATTGCTTTTTATATCTCGGGAAGATATCCTATACTCAGGGTGTGTATCCCACGTTTCGAATCCCTGCGTCTAGATGGCGTTCAAGTAGCTAAGCCTTTTTTTTCCGGTCAGCACGGAAGCTTGCAGTAGATCGAGTTTCTTGGCGGTTGCATTCAGGGAACATAGCGCTCGCATGCAGGGCCGCGGTGTTGCACAGATTGATAGGTCGATCTTTAGACGGATGGACAAGTTCACATTCTGAACAGGATCGGATTAACTGCCGCAGACGACGAGCCGGAGGCGGAGATATCACGAGGATGGAATATGAACGAATGAAATTTTGGGGATCGCGCAGAGGGATATTGAGAGGATCTTGCGAGGTGTGTACGTAGATGTGTACAGAGGCACGGGACAAGTGGGACGAGTCCGCAGAGCAGAAAGCAAAAGTCTGTGACGCGAGATTACAGATGAGGCGAGGGATGTAGTGAGCAACGGGTTGACAGGGATGTAGTGAGCAACGGGTTGACAATCACATCGTCCAGTGTGCGAGATGGAGTGCGAAAGACAGGATTTGTGAAAGACCGTCGGGACAGGAGATGTGTACGGTACGACAAGTACGAATGAATGCTGAGGTTTGAGTTGTAAGTCTCCACAGTCACGACGCGGCAATACCGGGATGTGCGCGGGTGAGTCCGCTAGTCAACGGCGAGACCGATTGAAGGCACTCAGGACGTTGATGAGATTCTCATGAAAAGGATACGTAATTTTCCGGGTCTCACCCTCGATGCGATTATTTTCTGATCATGAGCGATAGTCGACCGGAGTCACCGGCAACATTATTGGCCATCGTTCGAGAGGGCTTGCAGATGCACTGAGTAACAGGAAGTTGGAGAATGGATGCGGGCGGGGTAAATTTGAGAGGTGTTGGCGACAAAGTAAACTTCAGTTCGCCCGGCGGCCGCTGGTCAGAGTGTTCTTCAGATACGGAAGGCTGTATTTGATCTTTGTCGGAATGGGGTGGTCATCCTGACCTGGACCTGAATCATACATAGGCTCGATCACGTCCGTATGAAGAGGCAGAACGTCCGAGGAATCTATAAGCGGAGTCAGCGTTACATAGCGTGGGGGGAATGGGAGGAAAACTCGCACCAGCCCTTCAGTAATCCTATCCAGATCCACAACATAAGAAAGACGAGTCTCGCGTAAAGAAGCGAATGAACTCGAAGAAACCCACCAATGGATCGTCATGCGCTGCTTTCCATCGATGCACGTCCGCGTCTCGGTGCCTTCGTCGAAGGCGTTCACCGAAGAAAGTGAGATCAGTAATTGGACAATAGATGTTGGACAATAGATGAAGTTTTACCGACACCGAAAATTACTGGGGGATATAAAAGCTGT